TGCAAGATGCTGGGGGGGGGGGGGACAAACCCCATCACCCCACCAGCCATCTCCACAGGTGCGGGCCCCCTTCCTTTATTGTTATAATTAAACAATAATTCAAGTCAATGAAATATTGTCAAGTCAAGAAATCACTGCTGAACTATTGCAAGGGATCAATTATCTACTCTAGATTTGGATCCACCTCCTACTAGATACTGCTAGATATGTTTCTCCTGGATTATGCAATGAAGTTTGCTTTTAGATTTGGGCATGAAAATGTGCAGATGGCCATTTGCTTGCCTCTGGTAGCAGAAGCAGAAGAAAATTATACTAAATGAGCATGTATAATTGTTTCATTTGTAAATAATGCTTCCTATCTACAACATAACTCCTGCTTTGCCTTGAGGAAATGAAATGGTTATAAGCTTGTGTTAGATTGACAGTCTCTGTCAGAGAAGCAATCATTCATTTCTCTATAGATTAAATCTCTTCATGTTATCCAGGAATTACTTCTCAATAAAGTTGCATGTGATTAAAACATATTTAATCTCTCTCTCTCTCCCTCCATCTCTCTCCCCCCCCCTTTTTTTTCTGGCTTCCTTGAGATGGAAAACAGCTTTTCCAGAACTCACACCTTGCAGAAGTCTCCTGAAATTGAGTGGGAGTTTGTAAAATCAGGCCAAGAATTACAAGTTTGCCCCTCTAGTTTCCTGTATGAGGAAGGGGAGGGGACCCTATTAGTCTCCTATATGACTCATCCATCCTCAGTTAGAAATACAGTTTCAGCAAGGACAGCTTACATTCTTATTAGTAATAACTTTACATTTCTGTTGCTGTTTCTTTCTTGACACAATAGGAATCGATTGTATTAGCCTAGATTGGAAATGTTTTTCCAATTGTTGCTGTGGCCTTCCAATATTAAAACCAGAAGAAATCAATGTGATGGGAAGCCTTGTTTTCCAGCCTCAAATGTGATTTGGGCCCAAACAACTATTATCACCTTCCTTGTTATCACCAACTTTACAAGCTACTTGGTTTAAGGTTTAATATGCTTTGTAATTGTTTTGTGTCAACTGATCCATTGGGAAGTTAATGCATGACCTAAATTATGTGTCCTAATTTAATCTCACAGGGATGAGACAAGAAGAACTGAATGAAGATATAATCTTGGATAGGTTTCACCAGGTAGAACTTCCTTCTAAAAGGACAATTTGACATCCAAGTTCATACATACGTGTATACAGACAAATATAAAATACAATTTATGTCCAACTCTCAAAAGGTCATGGAAATTATTTCCATGACTTCAAGGAGCCTTTAGGCTCTTTCCCCGTCAAACAGTATAGAGGGCTTCTCCTGACCATAACCCAGAAATTTCTTTGGTAATGTTTGAAACAGTTTGTAATTAAATATAGGATGTCTCTCTAACCTAAGTCAAACCTAACTAGAGAGTGACACTACTGAGATAAAGCAGCTCCCAGCATCCCTATCAAAACATATGTCATTGGGTGCACAGGCATGTTCCCTGCTAAACTGACCACGCCACCCCCAATTTGAAAGCTATGTTTATGGCAGGAGCTTCATCACAATTCTGCCTTGTTCCTCACTTATTGCTCCTACTTAACAACAGTGAACTTACGTGACAGAGCACTGGGCAAAAGCGAGATAATCCACCAATACATCAAGACCTTTGTTCTCTTCATTTAGGAACTCCTGGACCCAACTGTGGAGAGGAGAAAAGAGCACATGATTTTACTCTCCCCTGACCAAAAGATGGGGAAGGTAGTACTGTTGTCTTTCCCTCAGCTTGGAACTTCTCCAGAATACTTGCTTGTTTGCACATACATCATTGTCTAGACCAGCCTTGCTCAACCAAAGGCCCTTCAGATGTGTCATACTGTAATTGCCATCATTCCCTTGCCGGCATTTGGAGGACACAAATTTGAGAAAGCTTAGTCCAGGGAAAACATCTTAAATTGTTTCCCCTGTTGATGAATACACTATGTGATCATTTACAGCAATTTTACTGTGTGCATTAGTGCCTTCTTTCATTTATCTTAGCAAATGTTCTGCAAGCTATGTTTGTAATGCTGTAATCCTATATCCTATTTGCCTAGCAGTAAAATCAAACAAACTTAAATGAACATTCTTCTGCACTGACATGTATAGGACAGGCACAAAGGCATCTTAGGACTTTATAATAAACATGGAGGAATCACATATTCCAATAATCCCCTATATGTTCTACAAGGGGTAACTCCCATGTCACAGAGAAAGATAAACTAGAGTCTCTTTCCTTGATATTCTAGCTTTCATGCTGCACAGAACATCTGATGTATTGGCACATTTTTATCTTGCAATTAGCCATTTAATTACTTGCCTGGGGAGAACTAAACGGCCTTTAAGAACGTTTTTGTAATTCAGAAGCAAACTTGAAATGTTTCACCCTTTTAAGCTGGCAATGTTCTACAAGAGTAAGACTTATTTAGGGTCATATGAACAAATAAACTAGTAAAAACTGTGACAGATAGAAATTTATAATGAGTTTTTTGCAAGGATTCCTAACCTCTTTTTATGAATATCTGAATCAGCTCTAAGTGAGGTGCTCAAAGTAATTCACTTAACTTATAAACTGAGGACAGATTTTGGAATTCAAGTTCAAAGCTCATGTTATCCATTTCATCAGCCTTTTCAAACATGAACTGAGGTTTATGTTCACATGAACCACTACAATTCTGGAACGATCACCCAGGCAGTCTGGAATCCTTCCTGCTGGGCTGTGATTCATCTCCTGATGCCCAGGTTCTATATCCCATTCCAGTGTGTAATTTATTTTGCCTTTTACACTGTCCAGCTTGACAGTACATTTGGTCACAAAATGCTGACAGAACTTGTGCTTGCTGGCTTCCCTTTTATCTTCTCACTGCTTGGCAGGCAGTTGGTCCAGAGAGATAAATGCTTTCTCATTCAAGCTGTTAATTAGCCTGCATACATCACTGTCCTTAATGGTGTTGGCTGCTGCCTCCAACATGCTGGGGTCACCTTCTCTGCGGACCTCAGAGGGCTCACAGAGGCCAGGAAAAGGGTGCCAGGTGGGGGTGGAATTCAGCTTAGCTCCTGGCAAGGGAAACTAGTCAGTTAACCAGATTAACCTCCACTGAGGCTGATATTCATTTGAACAATTAAAATGTAACATCACACAGGCAATCCTTAACATATTTTTCATTCCCCCCGGTGCTTCAGTAGAGGGCAAACAAGTGAGAAATTGATTTATTCTGTTCTCTTTTGTCTTGGTTTCTTCTCCTCAGTCTTTAGATTATTTGTTCCAAAATTAAGACGCTAAAGGAGGAATAAATTTGTCTAGGATTACTAGCTGAAACTCTGGAAAAGAATATGCAAGACTAAACCATAAGATAGGGAACTGCAGACAATGAATACAGTACAGCTTCCCCCTCAAGTTCCCAGCATAGCCCCTGATCCAAAAGATCCTGTTGATATTATGTAGTGCAGTTACCTTCTCCCCTGTGCAACAAAGTCACAAGCAAAGGAGCATTCAGTCTGTGCCCTTCTTCAAGCCAGACCAATAATTTTAGCAAAGAGCTCCCCTTATTATAGCCTTGACTGCTCATTCCAAACACAGGTAGAGGGTCCCCAGACATTCTTGTCTACTTCAAGGGTGAAAAACAGAGGATCAAGCCTGGATTTATCTCCTTTCATGCTTCACTTCCCCACTTCACAGGCTCTCTCCAAGTCAACACGAATTGTCTGAAGTAGATCTTGCAAAAGCCAGGGATAAGAGTATAATGAGCCCTGGGGTTTATTGCATATGAGGTACTAACTATATCATCAGCAGGAGACATCGGCTAGCTTCATAAATTGTACCAAGCCATAGTTTGTTGATTAAGTCACAGATAACATTAAACCATAGTGACTGGGCTCACAAACTACATTCTAAACTGGAAACCAACAAAACCACATTATAACTTAATGTGATGTGTCAATTTCAGCAATGTTGTCATCAGTTTAGTTTTGTTCAGTTCAGCATTTTAGGTGTAAAGGAACCTTATTTATTTATTAAATTGGTATGCCCCTCACCCCCAAAGGATCTCAGTGGCTAACAGCCAGAAACTTCATTAAAAAAAACCCTCAATAAAAAATGAACCCCCCCCCTAGAAATCTCAACAGCATCATAAAGAATTAAAAATAGCTTTGCAAAGCAGGGCTGTGGAGTCGGAAGCAATTCTTGGGGGACTGGAGTCGGAGTTGGTAAAAATGTACCAACTTGGATTCCTAATAAATTTAAATTGTATATAATATAAATAATATAATATGTTAAAACTTCCTATTCCATAGATAA